ATTTTTCTTTTTTGTCATGGAAACAGTCACTAGGTCAACTTGCCCATGCCTTGTGTGAAGAAAAGCTTGATGCTAGTAGTCTTGTTCAAGTCTTCTGGCCAAAGTCTAGGTTTGATTTTGTTTTGTAATTATTATATCATTCACATCTACTCACAGGTAACTGATGTCCTGTCAGTCTAAGTGCATCTATTGTTAAACCTTGCAAACTTTATTTATTAGTTGTAAAAGTAGAATGTTGTGTCCTTTGTTGTACATGAATTTTTCTTTTCCTGGTTTATTCCAAAAAGGTTAAGTTTGTCAAATTTTTTTTGGTTACAGATTAATTCTGTTATTATGCATTACACTTATTATAAACAAGCTGATTAGTCACGAGCATTCAATTAAATATCATGTCAAGAAGTTGACATGATAACCAATATCTGTAACAAACATTGCATTTGTCATTTTGAGTTCAAAGTCTGCCTAGTTTCCAAGCCCTTTCCCAAACTTTTGTGAACCCAAAGAGATGTGTCATTTTTTCCAGTTTGTTTTAAAACTGTGGGATAAAACAATTACTGAATTCAGTTTTTACATGATATCTTGAATTATTAAGCCTAGTGTCTAAATTTGTAATATGCCACAGCCTTCAGTTTCGGCAGATAACTCAGAACTTCGTCTTGATTATTCAAGTTACTATGTTCAACTCCCTTCAGTACGTACAATAAAGTATAAAGCTGTGTCATTAGTTTTTCATTGACTGTCTTGTAAACAAAGGAATTATATTTCTAGTGTTGAAAGATCTTGGATAGATTGCCTCTTGTGTCTTAAAAAGATGAAAAAAAAAACTTTCTAAACACAGTACACATGTTCTAGATCATGCATTTCACATTAGATCAGAGGGTTTGTATCATTACAAGAAAGCTTTACCTGTACATTGTTATCACTTGTGACAGTCTCATTCTTGTTTAAAATGTATTTTTTTTTAACTTCAGATGTAAAATGTTGTCAGAGGATGTTGTTTTGGTGGACAGGTAAGCAAAATAAAAGTGATGAAATTTATTCTACAATTAACCTGTTGAGCAGTTACAATCCAATTTCTCCTAACAATTTCAGCCCTGAATCACACATTAAGATTATGAGAGTAAAGGAAATGATCACCAACTAAAGAAACTCTGGATTGTTAGGCAAAATTGTCTTCATCCACACCTTAGGGAATATACAGAGAACAGTACAGAGAATATGCTTACTTATGTTAGGGTGTGAAGGTTT